CCTCTCTCTCCCTCTCTCTCCTCCTCCCCACTCCCTCCCTCCTCCATCACTGGCGACACGTGTTGAATGCTAAACTTACCTACCGAATAAAAATTAATAAAAGGTTGGGCGCTCTATAATCTCCCCTTCTCTGCCTCCCCCCCCTCTCTTTTCCACTCTCGCGCATATCATAAAGCAATATAAATATTTACTAGAACCACTTAGCCCTCTCAATGCGCCCCTCTCCTCCCATGCGCCCCTCCGCTTTTTCCCTCCCTCCCGCCCATCCGTCCATCCATCCATCTATGGCTCGCTCGCTGCATCCCTCCCTCGCCGTCCTGCCTTTTTTCTCCTGCCTCCTATCGACTCTTTCTGCTTCTCCAAGCAAAACGGACGCGCCACACCAGCGTCTGTGGATCCACATGTGAGTGCAACCCTGCCCGGTGCGTCTTTGCATGGAGAGCTGCAGCGTGTGTGCCAGTGTGTGAGTGCGCGTGGGTGCGTGCGTGAGTGCATATGAATGAGAAGTCTGTAGCAGCATGTCAGTGACCATGTTTGAACAGCTTGCAGAGAATGGAGGTACATGCAGTACCTTAACACTGCCGGTTAAACTCCTTATGTTTGGGCTTTGGAGCTTAAAATGAAATATTTATATTTAAGTAACTTTTCATTTGTTGAAGAGAAGTGGAACAACAGGCTGCTTAACGACTGCATAGTTTGTTTACAATTCTTTTCTATCCAAAAGTGAGTCTCCAAGGGACAATGACTGTGCAGTGTAGCTACATTACATTGGGGCGGTTCTGTCTTCTTCTCATCCCTCCTTTTCTCTTACTCTTGTAATCAGCACTAATCAGTGAAGCAATAGTTAGCCTCAGATGATAAGCAAACTATGCATCAGGCTACTCGGTAAATGAGTTTATGATTTTGTACCCCTTTGCGATCACACACAAAAAGTACACATGCAGTATAAACACACACACACACACACAACACACACAGAAACAATAGCTTCAGCACAAGTAGGACAAAGATCTTCCTGTATTAATAAATGTGTGTCTTGCCCCTGGATGTATAGTAAATAATGGACAAACAACTCAGATCCATCTAACTGAACAATAATCATTATGACAGTACCTTCATGGTACACACATGCAGCCGCAAACATACACACGTTAGAGTATTGTGTCGATGCAATTCTGTGGATATCGGTCATCGCCTAAAGGTAATGCTCCCTTCATCAGATTTTAAAAGATTGTTCCCAAGGAACCTGTATCACTCTCTCAAACACAGTCATCATTGCACCCGCTTCTAAATACACTCAGAGCAAGGTTTGTCAGGTTTAGGGCAAGGGTTATGGTTGGGCAGTTAGTCTTGATGGTTAAAGTTACAGTAAGGGGCTAGGGAATGCTTTATGTCAATGAGTGTCCTTACAAAGATAGAACTACGAGCATGTGCGTGTGTGTGTGTCCTCGTATTTCTCATGTTGTAGGGACATAAATCAGTTTACACAGTCATAATGAGGGGACTCAACATCCTTATGAAAAAGCAAGTCCCCAAAATGTCAATTATCAAATGTCAGAGTGATGACGACTTGGTTCAAGGTTAGGTGTTAGGCATATGGTGGTTAGGGTAAGTCTCCAGGAATGCAAGTCACTGTAATGTGTACTGACGTTAGGGAAACACAACATGTATCACCCTGCTCTAAATAGATTTTGCTTGTAAAATTTTCCATTTTAATATCAATTAATGGTTCATACACTTGAAAAAATAATAACTTCTCACTTACTTCTAGTTTTAGTTTTATTTGTCCAGACTGTAAGATTTAGTATACTTCTCTGAGATGTCTGTTTCCACCCTCAGAGTTGAATGGAATTTCATTTGCGTTGCCATAACACTGAAATATTTAATTTGAAAATTTTAACACCCACATCTCTTTGCAGAAACAGTGCCCTCATTAATCTGTATAATTCACAAAACAAGCTGTCAAGCATATTCATAGTTTGTTCTTCCAATAAAAACACTCAATAGTGGGCCAGAAATCTCTGCAAGAGACATCTTAAAACCAGAAGAAAGAAAACTAAACCTATCTGCATTACTTGATGTCATTAGAGGTCAATTAAAAATATGGTGAACTGACCCTGTAACCTTACAAGACATACTAGGTTCACACAGGCACACACGCAGTTACACCAACAAATGCAAACATGTAAATGTTACGTTGCATACACAGCAACCAACAATTACTGTAACATTATTTTTTTTCTATCATCTGATTAACCATTTGTACTATTAAATAACAGAAACCATGAAAAATATCCATCACAATTTTGTTAAATCCAAGAGGATATCTTACAAGTTTGGTCCAATCAGTATCTCCCACATTCACAGCGTACCAGTTTTCACCTGCTTGTTTCCATGATGTTTTCTGATTGATGCTGCACTGGAGACAAACAATTAAACCATTGACTGCAACTAGTTATACTACCTGTACACTGAGCTATGGTCAGTTGTACTCAGTCCATATGACAATAAAGGTTAGGATGTAGGGCGATTAAACTGATCTGTGTCCCAACCCAGTGATTAGGCTGCAGATGGTTTTGAAAAACTGGTGCTCACTGTTCCTGGGTCATATAATTTGTGATAAGGGATCCATATCTGGTTCACTGGTGCGTTCACTATCACTGCTGTGGCATTAATAGGCCAGATACACATCAGCTATTCATATTTTCTGCTGCAGGGAAAAGGTGAATGAGCCGCTCTGCTCCTCATATTCTTTTCGTTATCTGTATTTGCCACATGCATTCGTCTTCATTTGCATTCATCAATCAATCCATCATCACAGGTCGCCCATGTGCTCTTCGCTCTTTTCCTTCCAGTGCCTATAGTGGTCTTTGTGTTTTGCCTGGGCCTAGAGAGATATTGTAGTGGTAACATTAAGGTTTATGAGGCATGTGATGGTGTGTGTTATCACTGTATTTACTCCATGGTGTGTGTCGGCATGCTTCTGCTGCACACAAAGACCAACGCTGTTTGAGTACATTTACATGACAGGTAGAGTGCAGGAGTGTTTTTTCCCCGTTGCGGTTAATAAAGGCTGGATGTGCAATTAAGGCACATTATTTTGCTGATGCCTGTTTATTTTTCCCACCTACTGTCTGTGAGAGCATGTGTGTATTTGTGTGTGGGAGAGCAAATGCAAGAGTGAGAGACAGCTTGATTTTTGTTGTTTGGTCTGATCAGATCTGACTGGGCTCCCCTATCTCTATTTACACATCTGTTTAGCTCCAAGCTAACAATCAGACAATAAGGTTCTCTCTCACTCTCTCTCAAATACACACACGCACATAAAAGTATACAAATACATATATTTATAGACATATACACATATGCTGTGTACACAGATGCAGTAATTTCACACAGTTGAGAAGCTACAACCATGAAATGTTGGGCACTTAAATGAAACAATTATCAAAACATTTGCAAATTAATGTCCGTCCAGTCAATTAATTGTTGCAACTCTACATACAGTATATATCCTGTTACTTTGAGAGTAAGTAACTAAAATAGTCAAATTAATGCAGGAGTAGAGAATCTTCTGAGCTGCTTCTCTTTTTCCATATATTAGACCTTTGTAGTTCACAACAACTCAGAGAGAAGTGCACTTTTTACTTCGCTTCTTTCATCAGATAGGTGCAGTTACTTTAGAAGATCTGAATTTACATAGAAAACATGTGATTATAAAATAAATGCACTGTTACAGATTAATCACCCAACAATATATACTGTAAAGTCATTTATATTAACTCCAGCTATACCACGTTATGGGACACTTTATCTGTACTATGTTTTATATAAGTAATTACATTACCTTTTATTCCACCTATGTCTTTTTACATAAATAGTCATTTCAAAGAAGCACTTTTACTTGAAATAGAGTATTTGTACAGTTGGGTATTGCTGCTCTTATTCAGGTACTTGTAAATGATCTCTGTACTTCATCCACCACTGCCCTGCAGTCGTGTGCTGTTGGGAAGGTCCACCATCTGTGGCCTGTAAGTCAGCTGCTAGTCTTGTTTTCTTTTGCTATGTTATTGAAACATTCAGCCCAAAAGACAATGACAAACAGAGATGGATGGCCCGCAGCTTGAACAGCCCACACAACAAACTCAACAAATTCTAAAAACAAACATTAGAGATTTAAGGTGTTCATACAAGCACTGTGGTTACTTATGAGTGACATGAAATATGATTTTTCTGGCTTACTCTGATGCTTCAAGTCAGTCGTCAGTTTATTTTGGAAGCAAAAGTCTTCTAAGAAGGAAATTAGTTATTTTTAAGTAAACAAGTGAAAATGAGGAAAAGCAGACACAAAATATATTAGCCTTGTCACAGGTGATGAATGTTTTGAACAATATAATGCTAACTTTACTGTATAAATTCATGTCAACAGAATATTAGGGGTTGCGTAAATTTACTAGTTACAACGTGTAGCAAATATTCATCAGATAGTATCAACAACCTTCCTAACTTTTTACCCTTTCAGCACTTGCAGACACACTCCATACAGATGTTACATACAGTACAAACAGATGCTTTACCATATTGATATCATTAGAGTCCTTCAGTTTCAGGGGTGCTGCACTGGAAAAGAGAAAGGACAGGTATACAAGACAGAGGTTAACCATAAGAGGTGAGAGAATGAGGGGCTGTGAGAAGGTTTCAGGTGTCTCATAGGAGTGGCATCAGCCTGGTAGTATACCTGAAAATGAATTTGGCATGTTCCCACAAACCAGTTCTACATTTGATCAACGCAGCGTGTACTACAGAACTTGTTGAAATATATCCCATCCTTTTATCACTGATAAACATTGTATTTTTGTTTTTAATTATTATTTTCACATTTCCGGTT